TTACAGCTAATGTAGACGAGCCTTTACTCTTACAACTAATGTAGACGAGCCTTTATTCTTGCAGCTATTGTAGATGGGCCTTAAGGTTGTAAGCGTAAGCAGTAAGAAACGGATCAACCATAATCGATTATTCTTATAATAATCGATTGTATTTCTTACTGCGTAGGCTGCATTCCGATATTCACTGCCAGCACTGAAATTCTATAGTATACGTAACACAAACTATGTATTTTCAGTACTGGCAGTGAATTTCGGAACGCAGCCTTAGGCTTACAACCTTATTCTTGCAGCCATTGTAGATGGGCCTTGAGAGTGGCCATTGGGCCAGATTCCATTGGACGGGATGCTGTAAGATTCTCGATGCTTCCAACCAATAGGAACGCGACTGTGATATTACCAAAGACTAGAAACTAGGCACTGTTGTTAGTATAGAATATAGCATAGAATATAGCAAGAAATAGAAGACGAGCAGTTCAAATCAGCCCTATCCCTATCCGACTTCCACCTCCATATAGTTAGCAGACAAAGGCTGCGTTCCGTTTTACGCATCGAGCGTATCGATCGCAACCAATGCGTTGCGTGCATTGATATCGTTCTGTTTTCGTTAATGCGCCTATGCGCTTTTGGAAACGGAACGATTTTTGATGCGTTTGATGTGAAAGGAAAAATGGATGCTACCATGGTCACAATGGACATTGCCAACAATAGCCTTATTTTCATTAGTGAATGATGACAACAGAATTAGCAGCAGTAATAGCAGTAGTAGTAGTGAGTCTATATTTTATCAAGAAATCTTCATCTGTAGAAAAATATTCACACACATGCATTAATTTAAAAATACAATTGAATTATTTTTAAAATTTTAAAATTTCAATTTTACCTTTCGATGCTCTTAACGCGATCTCTTTTTCGAGAAACATAGTGATCATTTCGTTATCCACTAATACGGGGAATTCAACTTTGTCGACTTTGTCCATTGTATGTATCTGTGATTATCTGTATGTTTGAAATAAAAAAATATCGGTATGTTAAATATATCAGTCATCATGTTACGTTGTCAGTATTTAAATAGGGTTATATAAAAGATTATAAATACTAATCTGCGCATGTCCGTATCAACTGCTTCTAGTCCGAGCTGTAGTAGCTGATATGCGCTTAATGCGATAGAGGTGGGGGGATTCTAGAGAATTCTATACGCCACCGATGCATGCATTAGCTGAAACGGAACGGTTCTTGATGCAGTTAATGCGCTCGATGCGTGAAATGGAACGCAGCTAAATTTGATACTCCCTATTATCAATTATACCAATCGCTTGGGAATCGTTTGGGCATATTTAGGAATATATTTTCATAGTTTAGGAAATAATAATTTATTTATTATTAATTAAAATGAATTGAGCGTATAGTTAGTAGACATAAATTCGAAAATAAATTTTTTTAATAGTAATTAACGTTAAATTATTTGGGAAACACGTCTGTAATATTTTTAATGTTTGGGAAACAATTATTTCATTTGAAAATCAAATTTAAAGTACGCTTGATGGACATCGGTTGGATAAATTTAATATTTGATATAAAATATTAATATTTTTTATTTCATATTACTGCAATCATTTGGGAATTATTTAGGCAAATTTAAGAATATGTTTGCATTGTTTAAAAACTAATAGTTGATGTTTAATTAGAGCAAATAGATTGAGAACGTATAGTTAGCAGACATAACTTTAAAATATCTTTTTTCCTTTAAAATTAAGCCAACGACACACGGTACGATTTTTCGTACTGGAATGCTAATATTTAGTAAGATACTAGAAATGCTGCATTCTTATTGGTATATTTTTAATATATTACTAAATATTAGCATATTCAGTATGAAAAATCGTACCGTGTGCCGTTGGCTTTATTTTTAAAATAATCAACTGTGGTTGATCAATTTCTTACGACTTACGACTCTATTGTGGACTAGGCCTAAGGCCTGGTCTACAATACGTGTCGTAAGTTGTAAGCCGTAAGAATTGGCGAATCACAGTCAATTATTATAAAAATAATCGGCTATAATTAGCCACTTCTTACGGCTTACAACTTACAACACCTGTTATAGACCAGGCCTAAAGGCTCGTCTACAATAGCTGTAAGAGTAAGGCTGTAAGGCTGTAACGTAAGCTGTCAGCGAATGAAAATATTTCATTTCGTGTCTTGCAACCTTACAGCCTTACTCTTACAGCTAATGTAGACGAGCCTTACGTTTTACTGGTTACGTTTTTTTTATGTGCTGCGGTCTTTTTATCATCCTGCATCCTGGACGTCGGCCTGCGTCCTGTGTTCTGTGTTTAAACAAATTTCTAGAAAGTTTATGCAGCCTAATAAAGAAGAAGATGAAGAACTTTCTTTGTGTGGATTCAATTATGCAGTTCTGTTTTTTTTTTGCAAATTAATATATATATAATTAAATTTTTGCTTCTTTATAATGAAGAACGGTAATCTTTTTAGTTTGTGCATGTGGGAGTTTGGTTTTCACAAAGCATTATGGAATTACTTCGATAAAAATTGGCTTAAAAATGATGCATCAATTACAACAGCAGCAGCAACAACAGCTAAAGGTATTTTTGTTAATTTGGTATCATGTTATTTAATTTTTTTAAATTAATTTTAATTTTAAGCAAATTATATATAACATTTGTACTTATATTTTAATTTTGTTTCAATATCTCAGCAACAATAGCAACTTCAACAACAGCAGCAGCAATTTCAACAATAGTGAGCTATAGCTAATCAATAGCAGCCTATGCAGCAGACTGGGAGTGCAACATATAATGGCGCAAATCAGAGGAAAACCAATTGTTGTGCAAATACAGCAATTGCCTCATCACCACCAACAATAGCAGCAGCAGAAGATAATGGCAAAAGTTTTAACAATCAGCAGCGGAGGACAAATTATCTACATCGAAAGTCTGCTAGTATTAGGAAGGATTGAAATTGGGTACTACTGGTCATGCGAATCAACTTAATAGGTAGAACAAACAAGTCATTCAAGTATTCAATACCAAGTAAACTCATATTTTACAATACTAGAAGATGTGAAATATATATTAAAAAATCATTTTTGGGGACTAATGCGTTTAGTTTAATTAAATTAAGTGTAGAGTCAAATTACATATTAATTTTTGGAAAAGATTATGGTTTTTTTGTTGCAAAATATATGATTACATTTTTACTTATTTATAATGAGGAATAGTATTCTTTTCAGTTTGTGCATGTGGGAATTTGGTTTTCACAAAGTATTATGGAATTACTTCGAAAAAATTGGCCATGTATCAACAGATATATTTATATTGGTTAGTATAAAATGTATTAACAGTTTATCCATATTCTCTGTTTTCTGTAATTTAATATTTTTTATTGTAAGATTATTTTAAATAAAGCATTGTGTTTATAGTATTAAGACAATTTATAATGAGGAATTTATAATGGCATTCTTTTCAGTTTGTGCATCTATGGAAGTTTGGTTTTCATAAAGCATTGTGGAATTACGTAGAAAAAAGTTGACTAAAAAATATTGGCTCTTTTCGGATGACATAGATGTTTTTCGGATTACAGATGTCTAGGATAATTAGTCAGTGGCTTTTAAACAATGATGAACTGGTAAGTAATTTGTATATAAAAGTTTTTGTCACAATTATATTTAATTCTCATAATAATAGAAATATATATAGTGACTATATTTAAAGCGGCCTATATATAAAGTCTATATATAAAGTTATGCATATTTATTTTGTATTTATTTTGTCCATTTCGTGATCAGATATTCAATAAAAAAATTTTAATTTTTTAAATGTCATTTTAATTTTGAGTGAGAATCAGTTTCTATTATACAGTTAAACAATCATGTTTTTCAACATTTTATTTTGATTTATCCACTCTTTTGGCATTATTTAGTCATGCTCTATACATACATATGTGTAAAAAATATATTATAAAATATGAAATAATATATAAAATTATTCTATTATTTAAATTACAGTAAGAATGCGTAGTATTAGAATTTTATTGTAAAAGAAATAATTGATGTTAGGTTAGATCATTTAATGTTATTAAAGATCAATATAATTAGTGGTTAATATAAAAGTGACATGCATTTTTAAATGTCCAGTTTCTGATTTTATTTAATTTTTTCAATGAATAGCTTTATAATGGTAAGTTACCGACCTAAATTTTTTATATTTTACCGACACAATCCAAATTAGACAATGAAAACAAAAGACTATTAAAATTATGATTTCTTCTGTTCGTTGTCTTCGGTTCATTATTACTAGATCTCATTATTGAGCAAGTAAAAGTGTTTGAGTGTAAAAAAAGGACAAATATTATATTGAATATATAAATACCGTGAAAGTAAGTTTTCGTTAGAAAAAAACAGTGAAATAGTATAGTATTAGTAATCTTTAATAATTTTTCATGATCATAATCTCACATTAAACGATAATAAATCGGATTCATTCCGATAGGAAAATGGATAAAAAATTGCCTTTTTAATATTTTTATTCTTATTCAGCACTTAGAAATATATATCTAATATATGTCTTGGTAATATTTATGTTTTAAATATAATTAAAATTTTTTATATAAATCGTTTTATTGACGATAACTTTTAATATCAAGATCTTATGTAAGTTTTATAGAAAATTGTTTAATATTTAATAAGTAATATTTATATGTATTAGTATTCCTTATTTATTTATTTAATAAATTTAATAAATGAAATTATTTTTTGAAAAATAAATAATCATTTGTTTTATATTTTTGTCTTATATCTTTGCATATATTTTTAGCATTTAGATATAATGATATAGTACACTTCGTTATCAAAATTAATTTTACAGTAATAAATTAATATTAAATGCTGGAAAAACTGCTCTCTTGATAACTTTGCAATTGTATGAATAAAAAATATTAGAAAACGCAATAAAGATACTTAATTTAATAATTTGTATCCACAAATTTTCTTATTTTACTTAAAAGTCTTCGAAAATACTTGAGAGATCAGGGAATTCTCAGGGAATTTTTTTATTTGAATGGATACCTTTTGAAAGTTGAAAGTAATAGTTTAAGAGTTTCTTTTTTTTTTTTAGATAGGACGACCTTGTAATGTTTCTAACGAAGAAGCAATACTTTTAATTCAGAAATATATGCACTATTTTAATACTAACAAGTTTCCTTCGAGTTCTGCAAAAGTTTGGAAAGACATGAGCAAAGAGCTTAAGGGGGGAACCTGGTTTAAGAGGCTAAAAAAAGATTTTTATGAATTTTTTTTATTGACAATGATGCAGTTGAAGTTCCTAAAACTTTTATAATATTTAACTGCCTATTTGAAGATGTAAAAAAAATTTTTATGTTGTAAAATAATTGCAAAATGGCGCCATGGTGTATCTCTAATCAAAGCGCCTCGCCAACCGAGTTGCCAATCTGCGGGAAAAATGTAGCCTGCAATTTTGATCTGAAACAAAAAAACCAAAAAGATTATTAATTTTCATGTATTTTTATTCTATGTGAACCAACAACATGGTTAAAAAACCGTAAAATACAAAACTTTTTAGCACTTGAACAAAAAAATGACAGTTTTGAGAAAAAATTTTCTCCGTTTTTATGCAATAACAATTATTTAAATTAATGTTTTTACCAATGTTTGAGGTTCACATAGAATGGTTGTTCATTCTCTAGCTAACGCACTTTGAATCAAGTTGATTGATCAATTAGTTTTTTCTCCATCTTTCCAGCAGATTTTAAGAAAGTACGAAAATGATATCAGGTGTAGTAAAAAGAAATCCATTATTTTTCCAATAGATGGCTTTAGTTATCTGTATCTCGCGTTGTATAAGTCCGATCGGGTTCCACTAGATGGCGTTAGAAAGATGAGATTTCGTACTAAAAAAACTTTTCTGACAGTTTTGTGATTAGTTGACTCAGTTTTGTTTGAACGCGCGTCAAAAATGGACACTAGCAAAGAGAAAATACGCTATATTTTACAGTTTTTCTTCGATAAAGGCGAAAACGCAAGCCAGGCGGCTGAAAATGTGAATAATATTTATGGTCCTGATATTGTAACAGCCAATCACGCACAATTTTGGTTTCGTCGATTTCGTTCCGGTAATTTCGATGTCAAAGATGCACCACGCACTGGAAGGCCAATTGTCGAAAATATCGATAAAATCATGGACATTGTCGAGTCCGACCGTCATGTGAGCACTGTTTCGATTGCCCAAGAGTTAAAGATTGCAAAAAAAACCGTTTGGAACCATTTGAATAAGGCTGGATACAAAAAGAAGCTCGATGTATGGGTGCCATACGAGTTAACGCAAAAAAACCTCATGAACCGAATTTCCATCTGCGAATCGCTGCTGAATCGCAACAAAATCGACCCATTTCTGAAGCGGTTGGTCACTGGTGATGAAAAGTGGATCACTTACGACAACGTCAAGCGAAAACGGTCGTGGTCGAATCGCGGTGAGCCGGCGGAAACAGTGGCCAAGCCAGGATTGACGGCCAGGAAGGTTTTGCTGTGTGTTTGGTGGGATTGGCAGGGAATTATTTACTATGAGCTACTCCCCTATGGCAAAACTCTTAACTCGGAACTGTACTGTCAACAATTGAACCGTCTGAAGGAAGCAATCGCCCAGAAGCGGCCAGCTTTGGCCAATAGGAGAGGAATTGTGTTCCATCAGGACAACGCCAGGCCACACACATCGATAGTGACTCGCCAGAAGCTCCGGGAGCTTGGTTGGGAGGTTCTTATGCATCCACCTTATAGTCCGGACCTGGCACCAAGTGATTACCATCTGTTCCTGTCCATGGCGAACAATTTTGCTGGTGAAAAATTCGCTTCAAGAGAGGCTTGTGAAAATCGACTATCTCAATTTTTTGTCAATAGGGACGAGGGCTTCTATGAGAGAGGCATAATGAAATTACCTTCAAAATGGCAACAAGTTATCGAACAAAACGGCGCATATTTCACCTAAATCGGATCATTCTAACTATGGTAATTAAAGCCTTCAATTTCATGCAAAAATAATGGATTTCTTTTTACTACACCTAATATTTCGAGAAAAACACGTTTAAAGTTTGTGGTACAAAAAAATATCATTTATTGGAGACTTACCGCAATCTTATGCTAATCAGCTATACCGGGGCTATACTGCAAGCCTTCAGCTTCTTCATAAAACTCGTTTCGTTGCATTTGCTCCAGTCTACGAGCTGTGCGAGCTTCCTTGGTCGTGCTGCTTCGGCGCCGCTCCCCTCTCGTAACTCGCTGCGCATCGTAATTATCAGCGAACATTTTGCATTGCTGGCCGATATTGATTTCTAATAACTGCATTGTTAATAAAATGGCAGTGTAGCCTTCATTAAAGATGCCAGTAGCCAAATATGCAGCGATTTGAACAATTTTAAAGTCCGAATTGAGGTGTTTGGAAGCGATACGCCACACAGTCGAATTGAAGGATTCGTTGGAATTTTGTATGTGCCCGCCTAAACATCTAGTCAAAAGATCTTCATTGGGAAGATCTTCATAGATCGAAGTAAGGTGTTTCTCAATATCAGGCTTTATAACTGGAGCAGGATGTTTATAGTTTACGAGTTGACCGGCGGCTTCAGCTTTGCGCCACTCGCACCAACTGTCGGCGCCTGCGGCAATTTCTATGTTTCGACTTTTCATCGGTCGAGCAATAGTGGTAGAGTGTTGCCATTATGCTTTTTTTCTTATCACCCACAGAATCTACATTTCGTCTTATGGCTAAACCGTAGTAAGTGGTTAATTTTTTTATGACGAGATCGGTCAATCTCCCCTTGCCGCCAAGCTTCTCCTTTTTTTATATTTCGAAGCCGCGTCCTCATCCGTTTCTGAACGTGTCCGACGCACTCACTTTTTTTACGGGGCAATCTTCGCCATACGGATTCAAAGTCAAAATGGACTTATAAGTTTTTCTTTTCCTATGATTCTATAACAATGTAATGGATTCACAATATTATTATCAGTACCCGCTGTACTTAATTTTTTCGCACTGATGCTCTCGTCTAAATTATCACTTTCATTCTTGGAATGCTGGTTGCCACGAAATCTTTTTTTCGGCGGTTTCGAAATGCGCTGCGAAGTACTTCTTGAGCCTTTTGGATACATATTTAAAACTGTCAAACGACTTTTGCTAAATAGAAACTCTTTACCCGTCGAGAATCAGAGCAAGACTGATCGTTGAAACTATAAACTATACACACGTACACACACATAGACACGCATACACTCATATACCTACGTGACAATCTATAGGAATGTGTAATCAAATATCGTGCCGGCATATAGTACGTATCTGTATCGGGTGAGCGTGCGGCCCACTCCGGCCGAGCGCTCGTATACTTGCGCGACGCTGACTCACCATGTATTCTATAACTTTTAAAATACTTTGAATTGGGCTCTGAAACTTTGGGAATATATTCTTGAATAGTTTAACTATCGATTAAGCAAAAAAAAAAATTCGAAAATCTTGACCCTATAAACCAGGTTCCCCCCTTAATGGAAGATGGAAACCACATTCAGTTTATACACATGTGAGAGACAATAAGAATGGAAATCTTGAAGCAGCTCGTCAGAATTTGGGCATAAATATCCAATCTCCAAGATTAATAACTAATATCATCGAAGATGCACTATTTGATACCATTGATGAACTTGAATCAGAAGATTCTAAATTGGATAAATCTTATCATGATGACAAGAGTGAAGATTCTGATATTAATACTGATTTATTTCCTCTAATTCTTACACATTCTGAGTAGGAACAGATAAAGGCCGATCAGATTTCTGATCGTCATCAGAGGAGATTGAAATCACGGGTTTGGCAAAATATAATTACAAGAGCATTTTGGAATATGTACAAATTCCCATGTGCTTTTATGGGCAAATGGTCGTACATACGCATGGAACATAAAGATGAAAATGAGAATGATGTTATTGGATTTTCTGATTTTTATTTAAAATTCAAAGGATTATGTAAAAGCAAAAAATGCAGTAACAAAATTGTGGCGTTGCCGACAAAAACCAGTTAACGGAAAACTACATTTGATGATCACAACACGTGACACTCGCAATGTTTATCATGAAGAAGTTAAAAGACCATTGAATAGTCCCGAAAGAAATTTAATTGGACGAAAATTAAAACGAAAAAGAGTAGCAAGACATCGACAGAATTTACTTGGAGAAAATATGGAATTTAGAGAGAATGAACTACCATGGGTACAGAAATGTCACATTTATAGACAAGCAAAAATGGAAATGAACAAAGAAGAGCTTGGCACAAAATCAGGTATGAAAATGGATATGATAACTAGTATCCGTAATATGTTACAAGACATCCAATATAGCAGTGCTGTCCGTGAGATTGGAGCAAAATAGTTCTATGTTTTTTACTGCAACCCAGAACAAATTTTCATCCAAAAAGAGTACTGTCGAATAAAAAGAGATTTTCCCAAATTTGTCTAGATGCCACAGGTAAAGTCGTAAAAAAATTTAAAATTTTACTAGGACAAAAACTGGCCACATATTCTTATACACAATTACTATCAATTTCGAGGGAAAAACTCTTCCTGTGTACTAAATGTTGTCGGAAAAACATGACGCAGTTTTCATCACATTTTGGCTTCAAGAATGGATACGAGCATATGGAGCGACAATACCAGACGAAGCTATATCTGATTTAGGACGTGCTTTATTACTGGTCATAAGTGAAGCATTTAACCGCATGACACTAAAGGAATATATTGATGTTCTTTTCAAATGGGCAACAAAAGATAAAAATAAAATACCCCGGCTACTTAATACTCTAATAAGAGTAGATGTGGCTCATCAAATGGTTGCTGCTGCCAAGTAGAAATGTATTAAAGACCTACGCCATTCTGTTGTCAAAGGTTTTTATCTTTGTACAATTGCATTAATGATTGATTGTCAATCTATGCAAGAGTTTGAACAAATATTTCAACTGACATGCATTGTTGCATTGCATCTTGATCAAGATCAAAGTATAATGATGTCAAGAAAACAAATATCGATTTTTGAAGAACCCTTCTGGACGCCTTCTGGAAGAATATATGGCTGAACGTGAACAGATTATCGAGACACTAGAAGCATCGATACAGAACATCGAAATTGATGAAGAAGTTGAAAATACTTTAAATTCACTGTCAATTGAAGATGATAAAAATGTAACCGTCACTCATCAATGGATCAAAAGTCTTATTTCAATGTCCACACCTTCTGATCAGTAAAAGATAGAATGCAAAACTGTAAACGGTTTTTATTTTCCGGAATTCATACAGTCACTTGAACGAATTGCTAAAGAGTTTCCTATATGGACTGCAACGGCTCTTCCTGGAAAACAAACGCATGCGTTGACAGCTTTTCAAGAAGGATATTTTGCTGAATTAAAGACAAAAATTTTTGAAGGTATCTCTTTGCCGTGTTCTGCAAATCAATTTTTGAAAGAGCACATTGATGCCTTGCATTCTGGCACTAATGAAGTAGCAGCAAAATTAAAGCATTTCAATCACAATCACAGACAGCCAGTACTATTTCCGCATATACCAGAGAAAAAATCAGCTTCGCAAAAACCTCAAGTTCCATATTCATTTGACGAAGAATTCTTACAAGAACCCACATCAGTTTCATATTTACTCGATAATAAATTAGGAATCTTGCAAGATTCCACTTCAACTCCATGTGAAGTTAATAAAGAATTCCAAACCTCGCAAAAACCCGTAATTCAACGTACGCTAAACAAAAGACTTAAACTCACTCTAAAGAAATCAGCACAACATTCAGCAGACGAAGAATCGAAATCCTCATCGCAACAGCCATATATTAATGTGAATTTCGATTTAATAAATACTTTACACGAGAGGACCCGCATGATAAATGATTCTGATTTGAAGAGTGGTGAAACATGGAAAAGATTTATCAATGAAGAGAGCTGTTTTGTAGACGTTAATGAAGAAAGTTTTGAAATAAAAGAAGAATCAAATAGTATTCAAGATACTTCTCAAATTCTCTCTGAGTTACTCGATCTTCAAAACGACGACATTGCAAACATGAATCAAAATGTTTATTTTGAACCAAACAATAATACGCATACTGTCTTTTCTGTAAATGATGAGCAAGACAAACTTTTTGTGGAAAATGGATCCACAATAACTGCTGAATTGTCAACGTCAAAAAAACCTTTCTCGAATACGCCATTAAGTGACCATAATTACTCAAAATTATCAGATGAAGAAGTATCGATTGAATTTCCTACAGATAACCAGCAAAATTTGAATCCAAAATGCAGTAAGAATAAACCTGCGAAAGTAGGTTTCTATTTTCAATCATATCCACAAATACGATTTCTCAATGAGAGACTTGATAATGGAGAAAAAAAAGGTTTTCTGTTGAGAAATGGACTAAAATTAGGAATCATAAAAGTTGGTAATCGCTGTTGATCTTCAAAGAACTTGTGGATTTGATGCCATTATCCATATATTGCAATTTGGTGCACTTTTTTATTCTCAATATCATTTTTCTATACAGTCATCAAATAATTGCGCATTAAAATTTGTATGCAAATTTATGAAGATGGGCCCAACTGTGAAAATACTTCGTGAACGTATTGCTCTTTTAAATTTATCTTATCCGATTATAAAAGATCCTGGAGCTTCATCTATCAAACCGTATAAGCTGATTGCAGAAGACTCGATTACTGCAATATGGAAGTATTTCTTTTGTTGTTTCAAACCGACTGAGCCAAGTGCAATTAAATCGTCTGAATGTAATAATCCGGAATGTATATCATCATTACCAACGTATGTCCATACTTTGAAGTAAATAATAAAGTGATAAACAAGAAAGGTATACAAGCATTGCAAGATGCTATTATATTCAATGAACATTATTATAATATTAAATGCCGACAAAAAAATTGCTCGGGAACAGTTATTGAAACGACTCGCCCACATTTGCACATATTTATTGATTTGGATATAAGAACACATTACAACAAAACATATGGCCTCAAATGCCAGTTAGCAGATGTTCCAGTTGAACTAAATTTGGTAAAACAATACCAGTTTGTTTAATAATATGTATAGATATTACTTATTATGTATCGTGTTATTTGCTTAAAAATCGGAATGAAAATTTGTTTATTATTTTCAGCTTGATAGGTGTCATCGAACATATTTCTGGTCACTTTATTGGCTACTGTCGAAAACCTTCAGGACGATGGCTAAAATGTGATGACATGCAATTAAATATCGAAGCATGTAATGAGGCAACAGTAATTACACCGATTGGGGCAATTTATATTACACAATAAATCTGATATGCCGGTCACTCATTAAAAAATATCAAATATAGTGCAATTCATTGAAATATATATATATATATATATATGTACTCACATAAATGTCCTTTTTCCATTAACTTTACAGATTACACTTTTACATTATGTATATAATTATGTTTAATAATATAGTTAATAGTCATAATATAGTTAATATGATATTAAAGTCAATATTAAATGGCTTGAAAGATTTATATATCAAAGCTACCTCTCTCTCTTTATTAGTGAAAGAAAGTCCAGATGGTACGTAAAAATTTTAGAAGTAAATATGTTAATAATAATAATAATAATATTATTATTATTATTATTATTATTATTGATTTACTCTGTATAAACGTATAAATTTTGTATGATTTATATAAGTATATTTTAGAAATATATATATATATATCGGGTGTTAAAAAAGTGTTGCATATGCTTAGTGCCATTCAAGAAAGAATGGAAATCTAAGAATAAATATCTAATATCATTTATCAATGTGATTAATAGTTTCATCGCAATTAATTATTCTAATCAGTCAGTTTTTAGACATGAAATGTAAAATATCTTATGAAATATTCAATTTTCGGTAATATTACTTTAATATTTTTAAGCACATAATTGAAAATTGAATATTTCACAAGATATTTTACATTTTATGTCTAAAAATTTACTGATTATAATAATTAATTGCGGCGAAAGTATTCATTGAAAAATGGTATTAGACATTTTTTTTTAGATTTCCATTCTCTATCAAATGGCACTAAGCATATGCGACACATTTTTAACACCCTGTATATATATATATATATATATATTTTTTCTTTTAAAACCCTTTTAAAGCTGATTTTGTTGTATTTGCTCCTTTTCGTCAATACTTACATTTAATAAAAAATATAAAATGTAAAATTTGTCCAACTGATATCCACTAAGGGCGAATTCACATCTCCGCAGAAAAGCAGAAAAGTAGAAGCTAATCAGAACTTGCGTTGGTAGTAAGTTTACTACCACCAAGTTTATTATTCAGTAAGCTTACTACATACCAGTGCGAGTTTTTATTGGCTTGTGCACCTTATGCACCTTGTGCCAGGGTGTGAATCCGACTTAAGCGTACTTTAAATTTGATTTTCAAATGAAATAATTATTTCCCAAACATTAAAAATATTACAGACGTGTTTCCCAAATAATTTAACGTTAATTACTATTAAAAAAATTTATTTTCGAATTTATGTCTGCTAACTATACGCTCAATTTATTTTAATTAATAATAAATAAATTATTATTTCCTAAACTATGAATATATATTCCTAAATGTGCCCAAAAAATTCCCAAGCGATTGGTATAATTGATAATAGGGAATATCAAATTTGTCTGCTAACTATATGGAGGTCCGACTCCCTCTCTTACCTATACAATACCCTGTCCACATAATGACCAAAAAGTTGTAGATGGCGATACTATAATAGATTGTTTTTGAGTTTTCATCGATTTAACAAGTTTTGATATCATTCTAGTCCGTTTTGAATTATCATATTATTATTAACGATCAATGGTACATTACTTATTATTTTTATTTAAAAGTAAAGAAACCGAATTTTTTATACCAAATTTTTGCAAATTTTTTGTTTTCAATTCCAAATGGCTTCTCTTACAGAGCATGAGAGAGTTTCGCTATTGATGATGAGAGGATGGGGGGATAGACAAAGGTCATACAGTGAAGTGAGATTGCTGTTCAATGAAAACTTTCGTAATGAAGGCGAAGGTACGCACATAGCACCGCAATATTGCAGGAATATTACAGAAATGTTGCAGGAATATTACTAAAATATTGCATAAATGTGACAACAATATTACAGAAATATTGCAGGAATATTGTTATGATGTTATAGGAATATTGTCACAATATCAGAGAACTATTGCCACAATGTTGTTGAAATATCGCCACAATCTTGCAGGAATACCTATGAAATATAGCCACAATACTGCAGAAAAATTGCAAAATATTGCCGAAATATTACTGCAATCGTGCAGAAATGTTGCTATAATATTTCTTAAATGTTGCTGCAATATTGCAGGAATATTACTGAAATATTACATAAATATCACAGCAATGTTGCAAAAATACTTAATGTCCTAGGCATAAATCTCGCAAAAATATCTCAAGCGTGGTCTACAATGGCAGTAAGCAGTAAGAAGTAAGGGTAAGCGGTAAGAAATAAACCAATCACAGTCGATTATGACAAAAATAATCAACTGTGGTTGGTCCATTTCTTACTGTTCATGCTTTCTTCTTATTACTTACGGCCATTGTAGACCACGCTTTAGAAACACTGCGTTAAATAAAAAAATGTTTCAGACAAAAGTTGTTTGACTTGAAGGGGGACATAAGACAGCGATAGCATTTTGTTAATAGATGGCGCCACTTTCAAGATATTCACTGACTATCAATTTTTATAAATGAAAATCCCAACTTTTTATTATATCTTCTTTTCCTACCAATTAATTTGAACAACTTTTGTCTGAAACATTTTTTATTTGCTTAATATTTTTTGAGATATTTAAGGAAAACTTGGTAACTTTTCCAACATTTATCTTACGATATCTCGCTAACTATTCGTCGACAAAAAAATAGTATTAGACTTTTTTACTTTATTTAATATCAAGAATATATTAATAGTGCCCTAACTTTTGTTAATTTAATAATTTTGAAATTTCCAAAGGTCGATAAGTTAACAAAAGTTAGGGCACTATTATAATAATATATTCTTGATAGTAAGTAAAGTAAAAAAGTCTAATACTATTTTTTCTTTCGACGAATAGTTAACGAGATATCGTAAGTTAAATGTTGAAAAAGTTACCAAGTTTTCCTTAAATATCTCAAAAGATATTAACCAAATAAAAAAATGTTTCAGACAAAAATTGTTCTAATTAATTGATAGAAAAAGAAAATATAATAAAAAATTCGGATTTCCATTTATGAAAATTGATTGTCAGTGAATATCTCAAAAGTGGCGCCATTTATAAACAAAATGCTATCGCTTTCTTGTCCTCCTTCAAGCCAACCAACTTTTGTCTGAAACATTTTTTTATTTGACGCAGTGTTTCTGAGATATTTGTGATGTGACATTAAAATGGGGACACCCTGTATATAAATTGTTTCACACTGCAGTATTACGGCGATAATCAGAAATATTACATGGTGGTCTGTCATGCTGGAATATAGCGGCAATATTCCTGTGATATTGCAATGAGATTTATCATCGCGCAAAAATGTTGTAATATTGCCAGTATGTTGCCATACGATAGTCACATTGTAACATTGCAGTAATATTCCAGTGATATTGTAATATTCCAATGATATTGTCTGATATATCGCTCATCTGTTAAGTCAAAACGCAAATATTTTCGGTAATCATAGCTTCAGAATCATAAATTTTATAAGATTTGTAAGATGCTATAAACCATAATTGCTAAAAAGTTTTTATTAAAATCAGTATCTTATTATTATCATTTTTATAATAAAAATACAGATGTAATATTAACGTATATACATATAAGACAATTTTCAATAGTAGAAATATAAATATAATGATAGCATAAAGAATAATGTTTATAAAAGTTCTTAATAAGAACTTTTCGCAAATCGGAAAAATTTTATGGCTTATTCAGTAAAGGATTCTGAAACTGAGTACAGCAACCGTCAATAGCGTGACTATAAACTTTGAGCTAACAGATATTAAAGAAATCGGTAATAATTCTTTTCGGGAATAATTTTTAAGAGTTTTCGGATAAGCTTTTTACAATTTGACCATTTAGATCTAAATAAAACGGCGTATTTTCTTCAGTCTGTCTTTTATGAAAATCATTGATTTCTTAAAAAAAGTTGTTATTTTATACCGGAAACTACAGGAATCGCGTTATTAACATTTGTACCTTAAAAATATGTGGGTAGTTTTTTTTCTAAATTTTTTTTCAATATGGCGGACTCAACATTGCAGCCGAAATCACGAATTTCATCTTATATCGACTTTTCTAACGTTTTTTCACTTTATAATGCTGATTTATTCAATCTGTCTGATATATCACTCCGCAACATTGTTATAATATTCCTGCGATATTGTAGATTGATATATCACATTGAATTATTACTGCGATACTCAGAAATATTACGTAGTGGTCTATCATGCTGGAATATAGCAGCAATATTCCTATGATATTGCAATGAGATTTATCATCGCGCAATATTGTTGTAATATTGTCACTATGTTGCCATACGATAGTCGTATTGTAACATTGCAGTAATATTCCAGTGATATTGTAATCTGATATATTACTCCGCAACATTGTTATAATATTCCTGCGATATTGTAGATTGATATATCATATAGAAGTATTACTGCGATATTCAGAAATATTACGTAGCGGTCTATCATGCTAGAATATAGCGGCAATATTTCTGTGATATTGCAATGAGATTTATCATCTCGCAATATTGTTGTAATATTATCATTATGTTGCCATACGATAGTCACATTGTAACATTGCAGTAATATCCCAGACAGCACAATGTTCAAAACTGGGACATAAGACGTCTTTAAGACGTCTTTAAGACGACTTAAAGATGTCTGAAAATAAGACATCTTTAAGTCGTCTTAAAGACGTCTTAAAGACGTCTTATGTTCCAGTTTTGGACATATGTGCTGTCTGGGATTCCAGTGATATTGTAATCTGATATATCACTCTGTAATATTGTGATAATATTGCTGGAATATTATATAATAGTCTTGTGATTTTGTAATATTGCTACGATATTATAATATTGCTTCAATATTGCTGCAATATTGCAGTGCTGTGTGGATATTTCAATATCGACAGTATCTCACACCATCAGACGATTTGTAGAAACGGGGAGTGATTAAAACCGCCAAAAGTCTGGGAGGCCAAGGTGCCAAACGACAGAAGAGCGACAATTTGAAGTAGCCCAATCATTTGTTGAAAATCCCAGATTGTCAATTAGAAAAGCATCTCAACAGCTTCGAATGGAGTGTATTGTCAATTTCCAAAAATCTAAAGACCATTAAGTTCCACCCCTACAAAATTCATCTCCACCATGAGTTGAATGAGGATTATTTTGAGCGCAGGGTGCAATTTTCAGAAGTTATGATACAAAGAATTGATCAGCAACCGAACTTTTTGCATAATATCGTTTTTTCAGACGAAGCGTCTTTTGAAATTACTGGTAAGGTAAACCATCATAATTTTAGATATTGGGACAACGAAAATCCTCATTGGATGCTTGAAGCACATACGCAGCGACCTCAAAAATTGAATGTTTGGGCAGGTCTTTATGATAATCAAGTGGTTGGGCCTTTTTTATAAATGGGAATTTGAACTTAGAAACCTATCTGCAGCTTCTACCAGACCAAATTGTTCCATCAATACAGGAGATTGTTGGTAATAATTTTGATGATGTTTAGTTCCAGCAAGATGGGGCACCGCCACATTATGGACGCATTGTTCGGAACTATTTAAACGATACTTTCCCTAATCGATGGATAGGTAGAAGAGGAACAATTGAATGGCCACCGAGATCGCCCGATATTGCACCACTTGATTTCTTTCTTTGGGGCTACATGAAAAATTAAGTTTATTTCACTAAACCTCGTAACCTGGATGAGCTTCAACAACGGATCATAGACGAATGTGCTGCAATACCTCCAGAAATGATAAGGAGTGCGACTGACAATTTGTACGTCCGCTTAGCACACTGTCAAATGGTCAATGGGGAACATTTTGAACATCTCTTGTAATCTCAGGCCGAGTTACAAGATGCTTTGCCTTCGGTGGCCGGGACTAACTGAACCTTGTCTTCAGTGGTCGGGTTTAAGACACCTTGCCTTCAGTGGTCGGGTTTGAGACACCTTGCGTTAAGTGGCCGGGTTTGAGACACCTTGCCTTAAGTGGCCGTGTTCCGAGACGCTTTACTTTCAGTAGACTTCACGGTCAGAAGAAGTAACGTAAAACGCATAATTTTGAGATCAAGATCAAGGTAGAAAACGTCATATCCGAACGTAAAATTTTTCATTCTTGACACTTTTAGGTCAAAAGTATGGATTTTCAGTCCTAAAAAAGTCCGGTTTGACCTTAATAATAATCTTAACTCATGACCTTGAGAATAAGGGCAAGATCATGGCTGAATGTCCCTCGTTGACCTCTACATTCTTATTCTTATGCGTAACATTGCTCCCTAGCAGGTGCATTTTCGAAGATATTCGCGTTTTCAGCCTAAAACAAGCTTAGACCTTTATGTGACCTTCAGAGGTCAAATTTGGCAGTGTTTAAGGTCATATCCGAACGTAAAATTTTCCGCTCTTTTCATTTCTGGGGTCAAAAGTATGGAGTCCTATTTAAAAAAATTGACCTGACCTTGAAATGACCTTCAAGGTCATTGTCAAGGTCAAATCCAAGGTCACCGTCAGATAGCCAGGAAAAAATCATAAAAACCCAATACTTAGTATTTTTTCTAGAAGTCATATTTTTCAAGTTATTCTGCTCTTCCGTGACTTTTATAACACCCTGTATAGCTTGTGGGCAGAAGGGATATGAGGAAGTGCGCCGACAAAACCATACCCAAGTATTCGTACACTGCAACACCGTATACAAGGCTTTATATTTAAGTCAGGTATTTTAGAGGATGTGTTTAATATGTTGAATTTGAATGTTTGTATGATATATTACTGTACCCAGTTAAAATAATAGTCTAAAAGATGTAGAAACATTCAAAAGAATGTCTTACATTCTTTTGACGCTTTATGAACATATTTACATCTTTAGGACTTTTATTTTATATGGGAGTCAATGAAAGATCTTTGAGCAAAGCGAAAATCACAAAAGTGAACAAATTCATAAGATATCTAATAAAATGATAAATATTCTAAGACATTCGTTCACTGTAATTTTTATGTTGTATAAATATTTTTATTAGGCTTGAATGTGGTTATGAATGTAGTTTGTAATTGTGTACGTCTTTACTGTATATATATTTACTATACATAACTAACTTTAATGTAAGATATATATTGGTTTATAGCATAATTTATTTTCAGGTACAGACATTTGAACCGAAGGAGAGACATGCAGTATTGTTGGTTGATGAAATGTCTATAAAGCCAGGTTTGCAGTACGATAATTCCAGTGCGTCAGTTATTGGTCGATCCACAATGAAACTATCTGGTGAAATTAATAGTTCGAACAAGCAAGCTACACATAGTCTTGTGTTCATTCTATGCGGTATTTCCACTAAATGGAAACAAACAATTGCTTATAAATTTACAGCAAATTCATTCTGTCCACACGAAATGGTTAAGGAGATTGAAACAATTATTCAAAAAGCACATTTTATTGGATTAACCATTAAAGTAGTAATCTCCGCCATGAGTGCGCTAAACAGAAGTTGGTGGAAGATTTTGAATATTACAGGTAAAAAGTGGACCACAGTTAATAATTATATCCAACATCCATGTGATAAGAAAGAGAAATTATATATCATGCCAGATTCTGTCCACGTCTTTAAAAATGTTGCATGCTCTTTAACAGCAGGAAACACTTTTTATTTAAATGCAACATTAGTTCAACAATACAATTTACCGCACAATGAAATAACTATTACTCCTATTCGCGACATATACAACTTTGATTAAAACGATACGTTAAAACTGTGTCCGCATCTAAAACAAAATGCTATATACCCATCCCATTTCGATAAAATGAATGTGGCCTTAAGTGTAGGAATATTAAATAATAGTGTTGCTGCAGCTATATCTTACCATATAAACAAAGGTAACATTAGAAATATACATAGTACCACTGTCTGGTTTCTCACTACTATGCATAAGTGGTTTACACTTATGTCGAGTCGCTATCAAAAACTTGCACTGTCCCATTATAATGGAAACATATACGACGATAATATAACATTCTTGAAAGATTTTATAGAAATTATTCGAGGAATCACTGTTGGAAATACACAGAATGGAACATGGAAACCTTTTCAAACCGGATTAATTCTTTTTACGTAGACTGTTTTAGATCTGCAAGCAGAATATTTAGATCGGTACAATTTTAAATATTTATTATTGGGACGATTTACGTAGGATGCGTTGGAATATTTATTTTCAGTCATCCAAAGCAGAAAAGTTGTACCCGATATACATGATTTTAAAAAGGCATTACGACTGATTTGTTTATCGCAATTTCATGCACACATTAACCATGGCAATTACTCCATTGAAGACTCTGAACATCTTATTCGATATTGTAAAGAGATAAAAGAAGTTGATTTTCAGCATACGTCTGTTGAGGAACAATATCTCGAGAATATGGAAAATAATTTATGGGATAAAGAAATATTTAGATCATTAAGTGGAAACGAATCTGGATTAAACGATGACACACAAAGCTCATTATATTACTTAATAGGTGCTTTATTACCAAAAATTAAAAAAACTTGTAAGCATTGCGATCATTGTTTTAATGCACTTGCAAACACTGCAGATGATTCGAATAATAATCTAAGTACGTTCACTAAATTACGACAATATAAAGAAAATATATTACTTTTTCCAACCATGGAACTGTATAATACAATGTATAATACAATGTATAAGTGCGAATTATTATTTCGATCCAATGAAATACATTTAGTCTCAAATAATTTAAATGTTACTGAGTTTATAGATAAATTATTACACTTGTGTCCAAAAACTATTCCGGAGTATCATAATATATTTTATAAACTTATAAAAAAATTTATGATAACAAGAACTCACTTTTCATTGAAAAAAGATAACAGTACTATTACCTTAGTTAATAAGAGTAGTCGAAGTGTTGGAATGAAAGCAGCTATTACAAATGTTAAACATTATTAATAATAAATATATTTTAATATTATCATTGATTTTTTCCTCATGCACAATTATATTCATATTTACAGAATGTTAAGTAATTGTCGTCTACTATGCATATAATGTTTATTCTTATGAAAATGTAAGTACAAAAGTCCCGAACGAAAATGTTAAGTTCTTCAATACTTTACGAGATATAAGTGATCAAAATAAAGCTTTTTTGTACACTATGTTTTGGAGATCTAAATAGATAATAATTATTCTTTTCGATGAATTTCAAGTAAACTTTACTTTAACAGAATTTTTATTTAAGGCTTAGCTATAAAGATGCACTATATCATAAGTTAGAAAGTCATTATAAATCATTATCTCTTTCAACAAAATAGCTTAGAACTTTTAAATTTGAATATTCATGAGAAATAATGGCATATATTACTTAACTATGTATCGCTTTATATATATAATACACATAATAATGTTTATAACGAATATATGATTTGAATGCCCGCGCTTGCCTTGGCCCCAAAATGGAGGACGATTGTGGTACTTTATATATCTAGTGACTTTAGGCTCGGCTAAAAGCGGCCTATGGCCGGTATTCATAGTCGGATCTTATATTTAAGACCGTCTTAAGTTTATTTTCAAACTCTGTACAAAGCATTTCATTGGCTATAGAGTATCTGAAAGTGAACTTAAGACGGTCTTAAATATAAGACCTGACTATGAATACCAGCCTATGACACCTCTCCTTCTTCTCTCTGACGCAACCATTGGTTTGGTTTCCATCGTAATTCTACTTCGGTGCAGGTTCGAATTAGGGTACTGTTTCCAGTGGAAGCAGAGCAGAAATGAGGAAGACCCAATAAGAATTGATATTTCAGTAGAGCCAACTTAAATGACCATATATTTCTTGTTCGGAACATCTTGTTGTTGACATTTATTTTCTATAAATGTAACTGCTTACCTGAATAATTTTAATAATGTGAGATAAGTCATGGCAATCATGTTTCATAAAGGAATGCTTGCACTTTAAATTATATGAAGTTACTTTGTAGTCGTCACCAATTTCTCTAGTGATTAAGAAAAGTTAGTACTATGTACTTCCAATCAGTTTCAACCGTTTCCATCGATTAAATTTGAATATCAATTCGTTGCCACTCCGATAAAACTTATGGATCGAAGCGGGAGTGAAGCTCATGTTACTCCCGATCTTATTGTGACGCGTTTCCATCGGCTTAAATTTTGTCTTACGCCGCAACAGATGCGAAGTATATAGCAGATATCGCCACAAGGCGTGTTCGTTACGTTTCGTATTTTTCGGGTACTGTCCCTTCCCTGTCTGCATAGACGTGGCAAGAACATGGCAAGCATGTCGCTGTGATATCATTACGTTGTAGCGACGTGCTTGCCACGTACGGTGCAGTCAGGGTTACTCTAGATACGAAGATCTCCGTGCGGAATAATACGGACTCTTTTTATCGTAATAAACGTAATAAACGTAATTAACATATACTTTATTTAACACAGTCTTAAATAATACTCTATCACAGCCAGACAACTCGCGTCTTATCTCGCCTTTGTACAATAACCGTCTCCGTTTCTTTCTTTCGTTTTTTGTAAGTATATGGAATGAAATCTCACTCTCCCTCTAATTGGTGCTGTCCAGAGTTGCCATTTAGTATCACCAGAATTTAGAGGATTGGACAAGTTGGTTGCCACAATTTGGTTCTACGTCGCAACAGATGCGAAGTAATTTTTCGGTGGAAACTAAGCCATTTTTTATCACTTCATAACTTTCGATTCGTTTGAGAGCGACACTTTTTTCTTTCAAAATCGTGTTCTACGCATCAAAATACACAATTGTGCAAAGTTTCGGCGAAATTAATGAGAAGGTCCGTATTTTTCATAATTACCTTATTTTATTATTTAATGTATGATGTAATGTAATATGATGATGTAATGTATGATGTAATTTAAAAATACATTGCTTCTGGAAGTCATGAATATAGAAATACAAAATATCGATTTTTAGTAATAGATTGATATAGAACAGATTTGTGGAAAATTTTTGAGGTAAATAAACAATTTCTAGAATATACAGTATATGAACTAGCTTTGCGAATAGTAAGATGACTAAAGCTTATATTTATTTTATACCCATAACTTGTTATATTTTGATAAGTTATAATTTACATGGCAATATTTTAATGAATTCCTTGATAGATATATTAGTAAAGTTATGTGCATGCTGATATAAAGGTGAAAACTTGTTAATAGATTTAAATCCTACAATCAAGTTTATTTAGTGGATTTTAGCTTAGCTTCTCGTTGTACAACAAGCACTGAATTAAAAGTGGATCTAAAAAAGGCACATAATGGAACTTTACAATATACAAGCAGAGATGCTCATATGGGAGGTAACAATTGAGGAAAATTCTAATTGCAATATATGTTCCTTCTTGAATCTTAACTAGAAAAATAACATATTCTAAATGCATATCTCTTCTTTTAGTGCCAATAGTGCATAGTGATATTGAAATTTTGTTTTACAATATGATTCTTTGGCTGTGGTTCATTTCGGTGGGAAAAATTGTCTGATAAAGTTAATATTCAGAAAGAAATGGAAAAAGCTTTCGGAAATATAAGTAATTTTTTGGACAAATGTTTTCCTGGATCAGTTCCACAATTTATACATAAATTTATGACTTTATTAAGCAGCATGAAATTTAATGAAACACCATGTTATGAAAAATTTAAAGACATATTAATAACTGGTTAAAAAAAAACTACATCACAAATCAAATGGAAAATTAGGGTTGAAAAACACATCCATTCAAAAGATTTCTACTAAATCTACATCACAGAAAGTATTAGGTCAATCGGAAAGTTCCGTCCATTTTCTTGCAAAACGTATGCCTTTATTTAAGAAACGAAATAAAACAGTACATCAATCAAAGTATTGTCCATCGTTAGCGATGACATTTCCCCATCTTTCGGTCAGTAAGCGAATTCCGCGGCGAAAGAATGACTCATCTTTGGAGGTTATCCAGTCAGAAACCTATTTTTCGACGTTTTCATAAGAATTGAAGCATTCCTCAGCAAGTGCGTGTGCCATCGACCGAAACAAGTAATAGTCGGAAGGGGCACAGTCTGGTGAATAAGCCGCATGGGGTAACACTTCCCAGCGAAATGCTTCTAATGTTTCCTTGACAGATTTTGTGACGTAAGGCCAAGCGTTGTCATGAAGCAAAATCACTTTATGCTGTCTCGTTTCATATTCTCGTCGTTTCTCGTGCAATGCTCGGCTCAAACGGATCATTTGTTCTCTGCAGAGATCCCCTGTGACTGTTTGACCACTTTTCAACAGTTTATGGTACAGCACACCCTTCTGATCCCACCAAATACAGCATTACCTTCTTTCCGTGAATATTCCACTTTGGCGTCGATGTTGAAGGTTGGCCAGGATCGCAAATAGTTTTCCGACGTTTAGAATTGTCAAAATAAATCCATTTTTCATCTCCAGTGATGGTACGATGTGAAAACCCCTTTCTGTGTTGCCTAGCGAGCAAAATTTCAGCAGGTGGTTTTTCGCCTTTCAATGTCTCTTGGTTTCAGTTCATACGGGATCCATTTTCCTTCCTTGTAAACCTTTCCTAAGGCTCTCAAACGATCGGAAATGACAGATTGAGCACAATTTAATGTTTCTGCAAGTTGCTTTTGTATTTGACATGGGTCTTCGTCCACCAATACCTGCAATTCTTCGTGTTCGAATACTCTTGGCCGTCCAGAACGCTCTTTGTCCTCTACATCAAAATCACCAATTTTAAAGCGTCGAAACCATTTTCTGCATGTTTTATCGGAAGGAGCATTATTACCATAAACTTCTACAAGCATTCGATGAGTTTCAGCTGCAGTTTTCTTCCAATTGAAGCAAAAGATTACTTCGAGCAAATGACGCTTATTTGGCTCAAATTTCGACATTTTCGATGCAATGAAAAACAATGTTATTGATGCAAACATATACTTTTATGTACAGAATGTTATTGACAGATGTCAAAATAATTAACTATTAAACTTCGTTTAGACATTATAGGTTAACGACAGTTCTAGCTATAGCTACTTGTCGCTAAACGGACGGAACTTTCCGATTTATCTAATAGATCTTCTGTCCTCTTCTGCTATCTCTTCACTATCAACTCGTTCCGCTGCTGATCTCTTCCGCCAATCATTGCATATTTACGTTACCCAGATAGCCAAACCTATGCGAGCAGATTTCGAGCAAAGCCTGCTATCATAGTTTGATGGCAAATAGGCAACAAATTTAACGCAGAATCTGTTATATCAAATTATGTCATCAATCTGCAGTCAAATATGCGCCAAATCCTGTTGTCGGATATTTGACGACAGATTTGTAGCAAAAACCGCGCAAGACTTGCAGTAATTTGATTGGCGGCAGATTGGCGGTAGAAACCGAGCAAACTCTGCGCGCAGACTCTGCACGTAGTTTCGCAGCAGGACTTACGCGGTTTCTGCCGACAATTTGCTCGCACGGCCTGTCACGCAGGTCCTGTCGACAAAACACGAGCCTAATGAAGACACAAATGGCTATGGTTTTGATGTGGGGATCTGATCGAAATTGGCACCAATCTGCGCGCATTCTGCTAGCATTTTGCTTACTGGGTTACGGTAAATTAAATTTTGACACTGATGTGTTGGGAGGAAAAATTTACCTAAATAATTCTCAGATGTAATAAACCAATAAAATTTCTCAAGTACACCTCCAGTACACTTCTCCAGTACACTTTTCTTAACTTAATGATGCTGTGTATAGTTTGAACTTCTTTTAATGTTTGCTTCATTTTTTTCTCTGCCGATTTCATGGCTTCCTCGTGCGACTCTATCGTTTTCTACTCTTTCTTAGCCGCCGATCTTTTCTGACTGTAATACTTCTGAATATTACCGAATGCTATATGAGCTAAGTCTACATCAATGATCATAGATCTCAACTCGGACTCTTCGTCGCTTTCTTCATAAGGATCATGTAACAATAAGGAAATGTGATTTGTCTCCAGATTTAATTAATCGGTGATATTTTCTTCCAATCCAATAGCATATATATCTTGTATATATAAAGTGATAAATGATAAATAATGATTCCTAACATAAGATAGTATTAGTACATTTGCAGTCGATAACATACATACGAAAAGTGTGTACGCTTGCGGATGATTGCGCTTATTTTGTGCAGTTTGGTTAAGTAGTGATCCTCAAATTCACAATTATACGGATTACCCATGTCACTAGAAAAAAAAACTGTCGAAACCGTTTTGCTCTCCAGTGTACATAAAAAATCGCATTTTAATTGTTTATTGCATATCATAGTATGTCATGGCGTTTCATAGTCTATTACTCTTGATATGTTTAGTGACTATCAATGTATCGAATTTGTGGATTTGTTGAGACGCACACAGTCGAAATTATTATAATATCGTAAGTATGTTAATTATTTTATTATTTAATTGGCTGAGTTCTCGAAAGCGCTGACGTTATGTTAGTTAGTACATAAATGCTTTACGAAACTCAGCTAATACAGGTAGTTTTTTATAGCAATATGTCTTGTACGAATAACATGTAATAAACAATTGAAACGCGATTCTTTATATATACGTTTTTCGCGCATTATCGACTGTAAGAGTATATACTTTTCGCGCGTTATCGATTGCAAGCGCTACTGATACTGTCTTGTGTTAGAAATTCGAAAAGGACAACCAATGACGACATTTCTTACTTAAAAATTTTCATATTGAAACTATACATCGTAATATCTCAGCTTCTAGAATACATAGAGCAAAAATAAAAATACGTCATATAACTCAACTCTAAGCTATCAATTAAGCCTAATGTGAAGTAAAAATTAATCTCTTTCTGTAACTTTTTATTGATAATAATTGTAAAATTTGTTATTTATATATCTAGTGATTTACTCGATAAAAGCGACTTTTCAATCATGAATATCTATATTTCTGAAAAAGATTTCCATATTTTCAAAGAAGGGTATTATATTTTTCATTCCAGAAAAATTTTAAAACCCTATATTTTAATTGTTTCCTATTTAATGTGCAGTTAAATTTTATTATACTCATATTCAATGTTTCAGTGTTTGTTCTCTATATAACATAATATGTGAATTATATATTTTAATAAAATAAATATCAATATTTATAATATTGCAATTAATATTAATAATATAAATTTGCAATATTGTAGATTTCAAAATTTGATTGATTAAAATATAAATTATATATTATAAATAAAATATAAATAATATATAAATTATATATTATATCGTATATACAGGATATTTGTAAAATCCTATCCCACCCCTGGATCTCGAAAACGGTTTTAAATATGGAAAAATGTTTCAGACAAAAGTTGTAGAATATTGAGAGGGATACATGATAAAAATATGGACTTGACCTTGAGTGATTTTATCAAGGCCAGGTTAATGTGATCGATGTTTCCTTAAATGGAACCTCCTATTTTTTATCACATATTCTTGTAGTCCTTGTCGAGACATTTTCAAAATACTGCCTATTTTTGTTTTTTTAAGCCATTCCCAAGATATGAAGCTTCAAAGTTGACATACCGCCGGCATTCGCATTACCCAAGGTGTACTGCGTGGAGGTTGCACGGTCCGACTTATGCCTCTTATGTATGTGTGCGTGTGTGTGTCACAGTAGAGATAAGCACCCCACGGTTCGTCACTCCCGTAGTATTTTTTGACTCCAAACTCTTTCCACTGTGTGTGTGCGTGTGTTGTGGCCCTAAAAAGGGCCAATTTTGTGTGTATGTGTTTCTTCAGTCAAAATTCTCTCCTCTCTCTCTCTCTCTCTCTCTCTCTCTCTCTCTCTCTCTCTCTCTCTCTCTCTCTCTCTCTCTCTCTCTCTCTCTCTCTCTCTCACTGTCTCTCTCCATCATTCTTCTTCTCTTTCCCCTTATATTAGTTATTTTCTTGCCGTTACTGCAAAATGAGCACCGGGGGCACTGAAATCGTGGGGTCCTTATCTCTACTGTCACACGCGCGCGCGCGCGCACACAGAAGAGGCGTAAATCGGACCGTGCAATCTCCACGCGGTACGTACACCTTGGATAATGCGAATGCCGGCGGTATGTCAACTTTGAAACTTCATATCTTGGGAATGGCTTGCGCAAAAAACAAAAATAGGTAGTGTTTTGAAAACGTCTAGACAAGGGCTACAAAAAGATGCAATAAAAAATAGGAGGTTCTATTTAAGAAAACATCGATCGCATTGATCTGGCCTTGATAAAGTCACTCAAGGTCAAGTCCATATTTTTATCATATGTCCTCCTCAATATCCTACAACTTTTGTCTGAAATATTTTTCTATATCCAGGGCCGTTTCCGAGATCCAGGGGTGGGGTCGGACTTTACAGATATCCTATATAGATAAAATAATATTGATAATATTAATCTGCATTAATATATATACCAATGTATATAATATGTATATAATATGGTAAAAAAAGGAGTGATATAATCCTAAAAAAACTTATCTTTCTAAAAAAAATAAAAAACTGGTGCCAAGTACATGCGCTAGGTGAAAATGTTTATTAGTTAAATATACAGGGTGCGTACGGTATTTGAGGACACTCATATATGTGAATGTAATTTCTGGAGAACAATTTTGTTTGTTTTTTTCTTGTCAGATCATGAATAGAGGACTATAAAATAACGCAAGAAATGAAGAGACATGCAGTTATCGTCGCTATATGCGCGAAACCGATTTAGAAATCTCCAATTTTCTCAATTGCGCCCGATCATTCGTAGATAAGGTTCGTCGTGAATTGGAAGCATTAGCTGGCGATGTAGAAACTATTGCAAAACGCAAAAAACATGAGGAACGTTCGGACACTACTAAAAATACACAATTTGTCCAACAAGTGCAAGAAATCGTTGACGAAAGCCCTTCAAAGTCCATGAGGGCCATTGCGAGGGACCTGAATGTCTCTGAGAGCCTAATCCGTCGAGTTGTCCACGAAGACCTCTGCTATACGTCCTACGTTATGCGCAGAGGACAGTTTATGTCGGCACAAACTCGGGAATAGAGACTTATCCGAGAAAAACGTCTTTTGAACAAGTTTAAGCACCCTGAAGTTCCTAACATGTTGTGATTTTTTTCTGACGAAAAAAATTTCGACCAAGACCAAAAAATCAATAGGAGAAGTGACAGGTAGTTATGCTCACATCCTACAGAGGTTCCCCGTGTTATGCACACGAAGTTTCCAGCAACTGTCATGGTTTTAGGAGTTGTGAACAACGAAGGACATGTTATGCCACCCCACTTCTTTCGTCAGGGGCTTTGGGTGAATGCTGCCGCCTACATCGAGGTTTTAGAAACAGTTGTGAAATCCTAGATTGATAGTGTACGTGGGGACAGACCATATATATTCCAGCAAGACTGTGCTCCTTCACACAAAGCCATGACGACACAAGATTGGATGACCGAAAATTTCTATGGCCACATTACCCCAAACTTATGGCCACCTAGCTCCCCAGACCTTAATGCTCTGGATTATTACGTATGGGGTGTAGTTGAGCGGGAGGCCAATAAACATCTTCATAATAATATTTTATCACTGAAGGATGCTATAACAACAATAATGATCAAAATGAACAAAGAGCATTTGATTCGGGCATATAATTGTTTCCGACCTCGGATTGAGTCCGTTATTGCCGTTAATGGGGATTTTATTGAGTAATTGTATAGTCTAGGAGTCAATTAACGTCGTGTAAAAATTTCATAGAATTATAATAAATTTTGCAAAAAATATGAACAAATTAGTTTTAATGTCAATTTGTCCTCAAATACCATACGCACCCTGTATTACAAAAAGTTAAAATTTTAATGAAGAATATATTACAAAAAATCATATAGTACAAAAATCCGTTTAAAAGAGGATTCTCGTGTAACCGGTTAAAAAAGCCCATTTTTTTATATAAATCGATAGTTATCTATATCCCCCCGAGAGGATGGGGGGGGATAACTTTTATTATGTTCTTTAAAAATATTGAACAGGTATTTTTTATTTCTCAACCCAATGATCATTTCTGGAGAATTGCGGAAAATATAATTTTTTGCGATTACAGCGCCATCTATCACGAATAAAAAAAAAAGTTTCGGACAAAATTTACGTATTTTATGGCGTAGAATCCGTATCTGCAATAAAAAATGGGGGTTTCCATTTAAGATTTCAAAGTTGCCCCCAACCCCCACCCCTAGGGGGTGGGGTGGGAGGTCGAGTTTGGTATCATTGGATGTCCTCCTTCGAGACTAACAACTTTCATTAACCACTTTTTTTTATCCAATGCATAGTTCTCGAGATATTTCAATGTCTTCAGATAAATCGTGCACCCTGTATATGAAGATTTGTTGAAACCTGAGCTAGTGAAGAGAGGGCATACGCAAAACGTAAACGAGAGTTTTAACTCAATCGTTTGACACTTAGCCTTCAAACATTCATAAGGAGTGCAGCATCAGGCATAAAAACCGTTGAAATCGCAGCTTATATTGCCGCGGGCTTATTCAACGAAGGCTATTTTGCCATTCTAAAGTTGATGGATGTCTTGGAAATAAAAATTGGATCACAATATAAAAAATACGCCGATTCATACGATGCCGCGCGAATCAAGCGCTTAGAGCGAGCCAGCATCAGCAGCAGCAAAGAAGCTCGTGCTGCTCGTAGACTGCAGCAAATCGAACAACAGCAGTTTTTCGAAGAATCGGAAGGTTTCTATAACTATACGGCCTTGGAATTGCTGATTAGCTCAAAGTAACTGTAAGTATTTAAATACTAATGTTTTTCCTGAGCGAAAACTTTAAACAGGTTTTTCTCAGAACGACTTTTTTTAAACTGGTGGAACGGAGCTGAAAAACTACTTAACCTATCGCGTTCTCCTGACGTGTGTTTCTAAAAAATTGTTTTTTTCAGCGACTGTACTTGTCATAGCAACAATATTTTTAATTTAAATAACTTTTATAGCTTGATCAAAATGGATTTTTATAGAAAAATCGTACCTTTTTCTCTGTATGCTACAATTTTATCAATTTCAACTTTTTTTTACATTATATTAGGTATAGTCGCTATGTTTTGATGTAAAATAAACAAATTTGTTTTGCTTGTTTCAGACTACTATAGTCGGAGCTAGATGTTCCACCATTTGGTGCCTGCATTGCTGAAGTGGTTAGAAGCATGCTTCTATATCTAAATATAAATATATATATATATATTGCATTACAAAAATTATCTTCTACTTTTTTAAACATCTATTTCATCATATAAAAAGGTGTAAGTAATTTCAATAAATAGTTTTTGAATAAAAAATCCTTAATATCACCTTTATTTTTATGAAAGAAGAAGAGCGTACTAGGTGGCGACGGGATGCCGTGCGTTCGGGACCTGCATCTTATTTTTGTTCCGAAGAGAGAAAAATATCGAGAGCGCGGTATTCGCTAGACCGGGAATCGAACCCGGGTATTTCGCTTGCCGGGTGACTGCTCTAAACCACTGAGCTACCTGACGCTGCACGCTCACGACACTCTCCTCTCCCTAATGTTAAGAGATGTCGTTCGGAAACGACATCTCTAGTGCTATCTCGAGCGCACGGCGACTATAGGGAGAGACATTGTTACTTGTACCTAGTGGTACAAGCTGGTGGTCTCTCAAAGTCAAAGGTTGCTATCCTTTAAGACCTGTTGAGAATCCCCTTTTAAATCAATTTTTTTGTAAGTTGTGATATCAAAAAGTTGCGCCAAAATAAAAATGAAAATTTGTACATTATTTATATCATATTTGACATTCAAAATGTTATATCCAATAAAATATTGACTTGAACATAAATATGACATTCAATAAAATATAAAAAAATATTACATGCAATAAAATCAGCGGCGCCAGAACTATTCATACGGGTGAGCCACATGTAGACCAGCGTTTATATGGGTGAACTATTTTTATTATATATTATATATTATTTTATCATTCATTTTAACCCATTAACGCCCAAAAGTTCTAAAATATTAGCCTTATTTTGCAACTATATTTTATGTAGAGAAACATATTATATAAGGTTGGAATAGCATTTTCTTATGTTTTCGGGGTCGTTTTACAAGATTCCGGCATCAGAATTTGTTTAGATTCACAATAAAATCCAATATGGTGGAATTTTTGGAAAAAAGACGTGAAAAATCGACAATTTTATTTTTTATAAGCTTGATTTTGTATCAAAAACGTTACTTTGATACAAACACTAGTATCATATCTTGTCTAAAAAATGTTGAACATTCAACGCTCAGTGAGCATATGTTGTGGGCATCGCAGGCATGCTATTCCGCACGCTTGGGCCGGATTGGCAGACAACAACAGTGGACCGGTACGCACCGTTGTTGCCTGTCAATCCGATCCAAGCTGTGGAGTAGCAGGCCCGCAATGTCCGACCATTGCGCATTTATTCGCTCATTTATTTAATAATTTTTCTCAAAACTTTACATAGTTGATTTCTATATTCCCGTCCGTTGTACTTATCTCGATGTTTTTTATGTTTTTTATAAAGTTTGTAATTTTATAATTATCCACCCTGTATATGTGTGTGTGTACGTCTCGAAAATAATTCATGAATATGAAAATAATAGAAGAAAATTCATGAAAATCGGGAAATTTTCACAATTATTCTTGCCTTTTAGTCACCATCTTGGATCCGCCATTTTGAAATTCTCTAATATGAATTAGTTGTCAGCAAATATCTTAAAATCAGTACCGTGGATAATAAATTGATGCTAAATATTAGGATTTTGCGAAGTTATTCTAAAAATACATTATTTTTTAAGTTTTTTTCGCTCAAACCACCATTTTGAGACAGCCATCTTGAATTCACATTTTCACCAATGCATACCTTGAAAGTTCAACATTTTTGTGACAAGATGTGACACTTTTATCTGTATCAAAGTAACGTTTTTGATACAAAATCAAGCTTATAAAAAATAAAATTGTCGATTTTTCACTTTTTTTCCAAAAATTCCACCATATTGGATTTTATTGTAAATCTAAATAAATTCTGATGCCGGAATCTTGTAAAACAACCCCGAAAACATAAGGAAATGCTACTCCAACCTTATATAATATGTTTCTCTACATAAAATACAATTGCAAAGTAAGGCTAATGTTTTAGGATTTTTGGGCGTTAATAGGTTAATGTTTCTAACCGTCGCGCTTTGTCTCTGGGAGAAATTAACTATGAAGATAGAATTTAAAATTAATTATAGAATTTTAATTATAAAAATAATTTCATATAAAACGCTGAAAACTTAGACAGAATAGGACAGCATAACTATGCTAAAATTTTTCAAAATTTTAGCGTGGGCCAAAAAGTGGGGTAGCGTATTTTCAGGAGGGCCAGTGCCCACCCAGGCCGACCGAATAATATCCTAAGATGTCGAAAGAAAGAATCAATTTAATTATTAGGAGTACAAATAAGTTTACGCCGTTTTCTATCAAAAATTAGGAATTTATTGTGAAAGAACGGTACATTATGTTTTATTCAAAGTATTGTTCATCACTAGCCACTACTTTTCCCCATCTTTCTGGCAGCATTCGGATACCTCGTCGGAAGAACTCTTTATCTTTTGAGGCTATCCACGAATCGACCCAATTTTTAGTATCTTCATATGATGTAAAGCGCTGCTTAGACAGGCCATGTGCCATCGACCGGAACAAGTGATAATCGGAAGGGGCAATGTCTGGTGAATACGGCGAGTGGGGTAGGACTTCCCAATTAAGTGTTTCCAAATAGGTTTTGACCGGTTTTGCAACATATGGCCGAGCGTTGTCATGTAAGAGAATAATTTTGTTGTGTCTGGAGTAGTAATGGGCGCGTTTTTCCTTGAGTACTCGGCTCAATCTCATTAATTATGTTCGGTAGAGAGCTCCAGTAATGGTTTCGCTCGGTTTGAGCAACTCATAATACACGACACCAAGCTGATCCCACCAAATACACAGCATGAGTTTTTTTCCATGAATATTCAGTTTGGCTGTCGATGTTGAAGCATGGCCAGGTAGTCCCCATGATTTTCTCTTCTTTGGGTTATCGTAGTGGATCCATTTTTCATCATCAGTGACTATACGATGCAAAAAACCCTTTCTTTTATGCCTGGCAAGCAGCATTTCACACATGCAAAATCGGCGTTCAACGTCTCTCGGCTTCAGTTCATATGGAACCCAATTTCCTTGTTTTTGAATCATTCCCAACGATTTTAAACGATGTGAAATTGCTTGTTGAGTCACTTGCACTGAGTAAGTGCAAGTTCTTCTTGCGTTTGGCACGAATCTTCCAATAATGCTTCCAATTCCGTGTCTTCGTATACTTTCGGCCTTCTACTACGTTCTTTGTCTTCCACGTCAAACTCACCGTTTTTAAACTTTTGAAACCACTCACGACAACTTCTCTCACTTAAAGCAGTCTCATATGCTTCTACAAGTATATACTTCTACAAGCAATCGATGCACCTCAGCTGCAGATTTCTTCAAATTAAAGAAGTAAATCAAAAGTTCCCGCAAATGACGCTTATTCGGCACAAAACTTGACATTTTCGCACGAAAAAAATTATGTGATGCTGATACGGAGTCACTAATACTTCAAGATTATGTTGTTACCAGATGTCCAAACTTACGATATTACGTTTTACATCTGACAATTTCAACATAAGCTTCTGGTGAAGCCATCTTTTGTCAAACAGCGGAAACTTATTTGTACTCCTAATAATTATTATTCGCTCTAGCGATGCCAAGTTTTTTGATATGTAAGTTTATATTTTATTCATAGACGGCGCGCCAGGAATGGGCCTGGGTCGCCGTCATAGAATATAGGTTATTTGTATAATGAATTTATCTTCCTATTCTTCTGGAATATATATATTTTTATTCGTAAGAATAAAAAAACATAAATTAAAAAAAGAATAACAAGAGCTAAGCGCGAACAGGCAACCTGGCGAGAACCAGTGCCGCGCCTAGTCTGCTGCGCTACGCTGTCATTTAGAAATAATTCTACAAATGTTAGAATAAGGCTGCAATCCCATAGACCGATATTTTCCGCGTAATGCGTATCGTGTAACCAATCAGAGACATTCCGCGTTTTCTGTTACGCCCTTGTCAAGAAAGTTGCGTATTACGCGAGTTTATTGCGCGTAAAGCGGTATAGCCGACATGGAGGCATTTGTAAGTTATTCTTTAGATATTATTATTCGTCAAAATTACGACAAAAACATTTGTACAGTTGTTTCATTTTCTGTATTTTATTTTATCTTAATTCTCTATATATCTTTCTTTTTTCTTATTTTGTTTTATGTATTTTATAGGTTATGTTTATTATGCATCTTTCTTTAGTTCTAGTTTCTAATGTAAAATATAATATGCAATTAAATAAAATTTTAAATACTCTTTATAAAAGTAAAATAATGTTTGTCATTATTTAACAGCAGTTATTATTCTTTGCAGCAAATTAAATGTGGATATTGCGGTGTGCTGTTGGCTTGCGGATCAAAAAATTTTAGAACACTAATGCTTCAAGCAATATGATGAAAACATACATGCAACAAATCTTGACGAAAGTAATGTAGCTACTGTGGGTATAAGTATTCCAACTGAACATGTATCATTTTGTATATTATATGAAATGTAGTATTATAAATATATGACTTTACGTGACATTCAAATCTCATCGTTCACATGGACAAAAAATTTGCGTAGTACATATTCGCGTAACCAATGAATTGTAACATTTAGAATTTCTGTTGGAATGTTCTGTTGGAATGTTCTAAGAGAATAGCAAGATATCATTGGTTGTATGCGATACGTTGCTGCCGTTTTATGTTCCATGTGCACTAAAAACATTCAATTCAGCGTAATAGAAAGCGCGGAACGCCTCTGATTGGTTACACCAGAGCTGGCCACGATCTGCACATTTCGGTCGAAATTCAGTAGGTGACGCCTACCGTCCCCCTCGCACCGCTCCGCGCTCAGCGGCCGGGGCGACGATCGTGGTGCACTCAGGCCCGTCGCTATATAAGAAATCAGCTGCGGCGTTACAGTATCATTAAAATTGTTTTCTCGTTTAATAATCACTGTAAAATATATATGTTTACGTGTTTAATACATATATATATAGGGTGTTATATATAGGGTGTTATATATATATATATATATAGGGTGTTATAAAAGTCCCGGAAGAGCAGAATAACTTGAAAAATATGAGTTCTAGAAAAATGAGAAGTACTGGGTTTTTATGATTTTTTCCTGGCTATCTGACGGTGACCTTGGATTTGACCTTGACAATGACATTGAAGGTCATTTCAAGGTCAGGTCAATTTTTTTAAATGGGACCCCATACTTTTGACACCAGAAATTAAAAGAGCGGAAATTTTTACGTTTGGATATGACCTTGAACACTGCCAAATTTGACTTCTGAAGGTCACATAAAGGTCTAAGCCTGTTTTAGGCTGAAAACGCGAATATCTTCGAAAATGAACCTGCTAGGGAGCAATGTTACGCATAAGAATAAGAATGTAGAAGTCAACGAGGGACATTCAGCCATGATCTTGCCCTTATTCTCAAGGTCATGAGTTAAGATTATTATTAAGGACAAACCGGAATTTTTTAGGACAGATAATCCATACTTTTTTTTGACCTAAAAATGTCAAGATTGAAAAATTTTACGTTCGGATATGACGTTTTCAACCTTGACCTTGTTCTTAAGGTTATGGATCAGTCATATCAAGTCACACACAATCTGGCAGCTCTGGTCGTGGCATCGTAGTTCATGTGCACGGTTCTACAGAGGGTGCCTCGCGGCTCGCATTGGGCTCGGCTAAAAGCAGTACATGACACTTCTCCTTCTTTTCTCTGCTTTAAAAAAGTAGAGTGAGCAAGAATCGTGTACGTTATCGTCAGAACGTAGTGTGCACACATTTTCTCAGGGGCACGTCGGCAAAAGCGTCCCAGCGTAACCGGCCTGATGGCCGCTCTCAGGTTTCTCTCTGCTTATACTGTGGTTACGTATTTATATGCGTTAAAGTTGGTTCTGGTTGATGAGGCTCCAAGCGTGGCGATGACTGGCGTTGGAGTAGAACTGTTCTGCTCGGAGTCATTTATTGAACTATGAACTATGAACTAGCTCCGTAGCGGCATGGTGGTTCTGTATTGTGTACATGACGGAGTCTGGAGAGGCCGGACAAGACGTGCGCTTTAGGTAAAGTTACTCTACATACTCAAGTAACAGTATATTATTACTGTCGTTAGAATATTGGATTCCATAGATATACAACAAGAATGAAATATAATTTTCATTACAGCGTCTGCAAAACAAGCACATGAGATATGTAAAAGGCAAAATGTCACAGCAATTTTTTTTGTTACAGTTCTCACCATATATAGCCCGTGCCAGCAGTGATGCCAGAAACGCAATCCGGTAGCATAGCACAGCGCGTGAGGGGTAGCGCACACAACGAGCGACTCCGTGTCCGTGAACGTTTGGTGCTTCGGCCGGCGTCCGGCTTTAGCAAGAGCAGACGACGTCTCTTGTCTCTGTCTTCGCCGAGCGATACATATATGGTCTGTTCTTTGTAGCTGCACTGTTGAACTGGTACAATAAGTTAAAGTGAGACAAATATAGGTTTTCTCACTCTGGCTTATTGCACCAGTTCAGCAGTGCAGTTACAAAGAACAGAACAATAGCTAACTCCGCCGACCGCGGGAATCTCGTGCTATAGACTTCTTTTGTTATTTCGCCGCTCGTAGGCTTACCTCACGTATTTAGAAACATTATAAAATAATTCTTATGTCGTTCAGAGTATGCATTGTTAAAATTGTAGACATTATAGGAATATTGTATGAATAGTAGATAAATGAATTTTGCCTGAAATCGCCGAATTTTCGTGTATTTGAAAGTGTATTTGCTATATTTCGTGTATTTGCTATATTTCTGAGTACTGCATTCAAAAATACTGTGAAAAATGCCGGGCATTATTAATGTTATATAATTATGCAATCCGTCACACACAATAGTAATAATGCCCGGCACACTGCAGAATATCCGTAACGTACTCAGAAATACACCAAAAGCGTTTTGGAATAACGAATATTTTTAGATTTCGGTTAGCATCTGTTACTTTCTATTGAAATACACAGTGCTCGGGAATATTAACTTATTTAACAACCGCGATACAAGAACGGTAGTGCCTCCTAGCATAGTCTAGTGATTATATTGCTTGATTATATGGCCACATTTCTATATCCTGTTTTTCATACTGTCTCTTATTACATAAATCAAATATAAAATGCAATTTAAGGTGAATGCAATATAATTGCAATATAAATGCAATATAAATATTTATTCGTTACCTAAACGATATAAAGGAAATAAAGATATGAAGGATAGAAGGAACAGAAATAAGAAATAAAGAAATCCACTCTTGGCCAACATATGTCATTTTCGTAAAAACAATTTTGGTAGTTATTGAAACACTTACGTATTGTTTGTTCAAACAAAATTAAATATAAAATGAAATGAAATGATATTTGCTATATAAAAAATATTTCTTCTATTAATATACGTATTACTTTGCGTGTAACAACTACATGTAGTAAAAAGTAATAAAAAATGTAGTTTTCCACTAATAGTTCTACACTTATACTAATAGTCTATGTACATAATGTTGCTCAACGGAAACCGCGAGAAGGTGGTGGTCTTTTCCGTCAGAAAGAAATGTAAAACGTTAGTTTCTTTTAATATTGCATTAATTGTTATATGCATATAATCTTCTCATAATATAACATGTAGAAATAAAACATGTTATAATATAAAAAATATGTTGCAATATAACAAGGAATACAATATTAAAAAAAAAAAGATTTGCATTTTCGAAAGTTAGGATGAAGGATAGAAGAGAATAGAGAAAGGATAGGAAGACAGAAATAGAGAAAAGATAAGAAGACAGACTAGATAGAAATATAGAAAAAAAGGATAGAAAAAGAGTAAAAGGAACTACAAAAATAAAACATGGATAGAAGCGAAGACAGAAAAATCCCAGAAACACGGACTTTAAAGAGATATCCTAAAGAAAGTCTAAGATGTCCAGAGGACGTTCAACGTCCTGAGGACATCTTTAGAGTATTTTCAAGTCTCTTGGAAGTTATGTCGTCTCGGATATAAAGAATAGAACATAGAAAGACACGCAATGTATAGAGAGTTACGAGAGTTATGATATTAAGGTCATTTTATACGATGTATACTTTACGACAGAATTCGGAAAATATTGGATTTAGAAAACAATAACATACTTGGAATAATTATGATAAAAATAATAAAGATATATACATTTAATAATAATACACTTAAATAATAAATACATATAATAAATGTGTACACATTTAAAAATCATGTATTCCCACATAGCACCGCAATATTGCAGGAATATTACAGAAATGTTGCAGGAATATTACTAAAATATTGCATAAATATGACAACAATATTGCAGAAATATTTAATGTCCTAGGCATAAGTCTCGCAGAAATATTGCGGGAATATTGTTATGATGTTGTAGGAATATTGTCACAATATCACAGGACTATTGCCACAATATTGTTGAAATATCGCCACAATCTTGCAGGAATACCTATGAAATATAGCCACAATACTGCAGAAAAATTGCAAAATATTGCCGAAATATTACTGCAATCGTGCAGGAATGTTGCTACAATATTTCTTAAATGTTGCTGCAATATTGCAGGAATATTACTGAAATATTACATAAATATCACAGCAATATTGCAAAAATACTTAATGTCCTAGGCATAAATCTCGCAAAAATATCTCAAGCGTGGTCTACAATGGCAGTAAGCAGTAAGAAGTAAGCGTAAGCGGTAAGAAATAAACCAATCACAGTTGATTATGACAAGAATAATCAACTGTGGTTGGTCCATTTCTTACTGTTCACGCTTTCTTCTTATTGCTTACGGCCATTATAGACCACGCTTTAGAAACACTGCGTTAAATAAAAAAATGTTTTAGACAAAAGTTGTTTGACTTGAAGGGGGACATAAGACAGCGATAGCATTTTGTTAATAGATGGCGCCACTTTCAAGATATTCACTGACTATCAATTTTTATAAATGAAAATCCCAACTTTTTATTATATCTTCTTTTCCTAACAATTAATTTGAACAACTTTTGTCTGAAACTTTTTATTTGCTTAATATTTTTTGAGATATTTAAGGAAAACTTAGTAACTTTTCCAACATTTAATTTATGATATCTTGTTAACTATTCGAGATTTCTGTTTCCGGCGACGAAGGATTGCGTGCTGGGTGTGACAGGGCAGAGAGTGAGTGAGGATTGCGAAGGGAGGCAGTGAGGGTGGAGGAGTGGAGAGGTGCGAGGGGTGTGGTGGAGGAGTAGCAGGGAAAAGGGAGAATAGGGGTGGGGGAGGGGAAGGTGGAGGAAAAGTGATAGAGGGCTAAGGAAATGAGTGGGTAGATAAGGTTAGGAAACAGAGAGAGTGTGGAAGATAGAAAGAGGTAAGCGAGTGAAGGAGGTGGCATGGACTGATGGCGGAAAGGGGAACTAAAAGAAGGAAGCGGAGAACTTGAAGAAAAGGAAGGTAGTGATTGAGGAGGAGGGGAAGGGGGAGAGGATGGAGGAGGAAAGAAGAGGGAGGGTGGAGGAAGGGGAGGAACAGAGGGGGGAGGGTAGATGGAAAAAAGGATGGGAAGACCGACAAATGCGGAAAGGTTGAGAAGGGACAGTGCAAGTAGCATGGGAAGTATAGGAAACGGGATAGAGTTGATGTGGGAGGGGAAAAGGAAGACAAGAGAGGGAGGAGGAAAGAGTAGTGAAAAAGAATACAAAGGATACAGGAAGTTGACAGGAGGTGGAGGCAGAGGGGGAGAGGAGGAGAGGGATAAAGAAAGAGGAAGGGGAAGAAAAGAGGGAAGGATGGATAAAAGAAGGGGAGGTGAAAGTAATGGTATGGAAGTTAATGGAAGAAGTAAGAGGTTTCAAGGAGGAAGTGAAGAAGGAGGGAGAGAGGAGAGAAAGA